CTTTTAGAAAATAAAGGGTGAGGATTGACATCTCATGCTTTAATTAAAAGTGAGATTCCTGCTGCCCTCTCTCTTTCCCCGCCTAGAAGGAAAAGGACCCATGGCATAGGACAGGGGTAGGCCACCTTGGCTCTTTTATGACTCGTGGACTTCAACTCCCAGAATTCCTGAGCCAGCATGGCTCAGCTTGGAAAACTCTCCCTTTCCCCTCAGCATGGCTGGCTCAGGAATTCTGGGAGTTGAAGTCCACGAGTCATAAAAGAGCCAAGGTTGCCTATCCCTGGCCTAGGCCTAGGCCGCTTTATGACTCGTGGACTTCAACTCCCAGAATTCCTGAGCCAGCCTGGCTCAGCTTGGAAACCTCTCCCTTTCCCCTCAGCATGGCTGGCTCAGGAATTCTGGGAGTTGAAGCCCATGAGTCATAAAAGAGACAAGGTGGCCTACCTCTGGCCCAGGCCTAGGCCGCTTTATGACTTGTGGACTTCAACTCCCAGAATTCCTGAGCCAGCATGGCTCAGCTTGGAAACCTCTCCCTTTCCCCTCAGCATGGCTGGCTCAGGAATTCTGGGAGTTGAAGTCCATGAGTCATAAAAGAGCCAAGGCGGCCTACCTCTGGCATAGGAGAAGATCTTCTAAGAAAATAAGGATGGACTTGAATCTCTGCTCTTGTTTTAGGTATGATGGACAAGCCAATTGAAAAAGGTCCCTTCCAACTTTACTATTACTATTTCCTTCACATGATGACAGTTCCAAGGGTGTTGACGAATGGATTTTAAAATTGGCTGAATTAGCAGAGATATTGAAAGATGGCTTTGATCAGAGATAATGAACTAGACAGCTTTATTAGAGACTGGAAACCTTTTGTGGACTTTCTACATGTCAAATACAATAACTGATGGTTAACAGAGGGATCTGAAGATTAGTGCAATGTTTAGCTTAATCTGTTGACTGCTCTTTTCCATATTTTTTTTCTGGGCCCAGTGCTCTTCAACATCTTCATCAATGATTTGGATGAGCGGATAGATGGGGAACTTATCAAATTTGCAGACGACATCAAGCTGGCAGGAATAACCAACACTCCAGAAGACAGGCTTAGGATACAGGAAGATCTGGACAGACTTGAACACTGGGCGCTATCTAACAAAATGAAATTCAGTGGTAAAAAAAGTAAAGTTCTACATTTAGGCAAGAAAAACCAAATGCACAAGTACAGCATAGGTGGCACCATGCTCAATAGTACTAACTGTGAGAGGGATCTCAGAGTCCTAGTGGACAATCCCTTAAATAGAAGCAGCAAGTGCTGCAGCTGCCAAAAAAGTCAACACAGTGCTAGGCTGCATTAATAGAGGGATAGAATCAAGATCAAGGGAAGTGTTAATACCACTTTACAATGTCTTGGTAAGACCACACTTGGAATACTGCATCCAGTTTTGGTCACCACGATGGAAAAAAGATGTTGAGACTCTAGAAAGAGTACAGAGAAGAGCAACAAAGATGATTAGGGAACTGGAGGCTAAAGTATATAAGGAACAGTTGCTGGAATTGGGTATGTCTAGTTTAACGAAGAGAGGGACGAGGGGGGACATGATAGCAGAGTTCCAATATCTCAGGGGCTGCCCCAAAGAAGAGGGAGTCAAGCTATTCTCCAAAGCACCTGAAAGCAGGACAAGAAGCAACGGATGGAAACTAATCAAGGAGAGAAGCAACCTAGAACTAAAGAGAAACTTCCTGACAGTTAGAACAATTAACCAGTGGAATAACCTGCCTCCAGAAGCGGTGAATGGTCAACACTGGAAGTTTTTAAGAAGAGACTGGACAGCCATTTGTCTGAAATGGTATAAGGGTACCTGCCTGAGCAGGGGGTTGGACTTGATGACATCCAAGGTCCCTTCCAACTTATTATTATTGTTATTATTGTTGTTGTTATTATTATTATTATTATTAATCATTGCACAGTCAGCCAGATGTTCAGACTGGATTTGACATTTTGTCTACCTATTGAGTCCTTACCCAGGACCTGAGATAGGCAGATGTGGATGTTTGATGATATTACAGATATCGTCGCAGGATGGAAGCAGTTCCTAGTAAGGCTGCCTTTTGCAATTGACTAATAGTGAATTTGTCAATGCAAATAGTGTTCAAGTGGTGCTCCAGTTGTTTTGGGATTGCACCCAAGGCACCTATTACTATTGGTACTACCCTTGCTTGCTTTTGCCAGTCTTTCTATTTCTATTTGTAGGTCTTTGTATTTTGTTATCTTTTCCAGAATTCAAACAGACAAGCACCTGCAACATAACACCCCAGACTTAACAATTGTCGATAAGAAAGACAAAAAAGTCTGGATAGTGGACATGGCAGTGCCTGGAGACAGCAGAATAGACGAGAAAGAACTGGAGAAGATAACAAAATACAAAGACCTACAAATAGAAATAGAAAGACTGTGGCAAAAGCAAACAAGGGTAGTACCAATAATCATAGGCTCCTTGGGTGCAATCCCAAAACAACTGGAGCACCACTTGAACACCATTGGCATTGACAAATTCCCTATTAGTCAATTATTATTATTATTATTATATGCTAAATGTTAAATTTATTTGATTATTTGGATCACCCTTTTCTCTCTCTTTTTGTACACCATTTTTTTTCTTTGTTGTTGTTAATGCTGGACATATATTTTGTTTTGTTTGTTTCTTTTTCTGTTTTGTGTTTTACCTTTCATGATAAAACAAAATAAATGTACTGAAACAGAATCTCTGCTGTCATTAAATTTCATTTTAAATGTCTGTTAGAGAACTTGTCATCCATTGAATCATCCTTTTAGACCTTTTTTCCTTACCAGGATCCTTCAGCAAGGTCAGAGCTGCCACTGTGATGCCTTCACTCCAGAGGATGGACATGCTACTCAAGAGATGACACCTCTTGAATATATAGCACAGTCCAATGACAGTGCAGGAAATGTTTCATGACGTTTTGTGTTATGTCATAATCTTTGATCTAGCTGAGGACAGATGCTGGGTGTGCACCCCCCAGATCCTCCACAGTAGCTTTGCATAGCTTTGAATATGAAAGATTGCAAGCTAAAAACAGAGATCCTGAGGGTCTCAGATGGCATCTAAACACTTTTTTTCCCCCAGATATTTGGTAGCAGGTTTCAGGGTCTGCCATTTGTCAATAGGACTGAATGGACATTTTGTGCAGGATATTCTTGCCCATCTGAGGAACAGGGTTGATCAAGCTCCCTGCCTCCAGGATTTCTGAACAGTGGGTTGCCGATAAAATCTCTGTTGGTCCATTTGTTTATGCTAGTTCGCTTCATGGTTTGGAATGGTTTGTATACCAGATTCTGAAAGCCTGTGTTGAAAGAAAAGTCTTCATCATGGTTCAGTCCAAGCCGGGAATAAACAACATGGCGACTGCTTTAGAAAGAAGGTTGCAGTTTACTGAATAGGAGAGCCAGACAGAAAGATGGCTCTGGAAGAAAAAAGAAAGAGCACATGTAGGGAGTGGGTTTTTATACCCCCTGGAGCCTTTTGTTTGGAGTGGTTCTTGTGGCATGAACTTTGACCTGAGTCGGAGTGTGCCTTTCTGGTATTCTGATGGTGGTGGGTTAATCCTATTATGTCCCAAAGATCATATCCTGCTTCCCTGAGGCTGTGGCTGATGACTCTTAGATTTTTGGTGTGTTGATTGTAGGGATCTTTTTTCCTAATTCCAGTTTCCTGACTCCAGTCTTTCTGACAAGATTATCACATCTGCAATTCTACAGACTTGGTTTCTGTTTGAGACAGAGAGACTTGGGGCGGGGTTGGTTTTTGCTTTTAAAATCCTTTAGGGAAATATATTCTGCCTTTTAAATATTTCCAAAAATATTTTTTTCTCTGGGGGGGAGGTGACTTCCCACACCTGACAACCATTTGCCAGCCTCCAAGCCACCTTAAAAAGACATACAAGGCAATGGTGGTTCTAGCTGGCAAGGTCTCTAGATTATTTCTTTAAAAGGAGCTGCTGGTTTTTATGGTTTTTAACATGTCAAGGCTTCTACTGCTGCCGCTTTTTCTAGACCACTTTTTAGACCATTTTCAGTAGTGTTTTTGCTGTCATTTCTTTCGGACCTCCCAAACCTCTCTTGTTTATAGTTTTTCTGACATTCAGAATAGAAATGCTAGAAAGTTTTTGCTGTCATTTCTTTCAGACCTCCCAAACCTCTCTTGTTTATAGTTTTTCTGACATTCAGAATAGAAATGCTAGAAAGTTTTTGCTGTCATTTCTTTCAGACCTCCCAAACCTCTCTTGTTTATAGCTTTTCTGACATTCGGAATAGAAATGCTACAAAGAATAAGAAATAATAATAAATGCTAAATAACTTTTACTAGAGAAGATTTCTATATCTGGCAGATTAATGTAATCATCGCCACCCAAAAGAGGCAGAAGGATTTTGTTCCTATTGCTAAAATGTCATCAAAATCTTTTTTTAATGAGAAATATTGTGTTGCAATATATCAGTCATGTGGATGTCTTTACATCTGCAGAGACTTTTCCAGTGAAACTAATTGAGAGGATAATATTCTGCTTTGAGTTAAGAAATGAAAAAGTCACTATCTAAAGTTAATGCAGGACGACAACAGAAGTGACTGGGCAGTGATACCATATCTCTGCCCGCCTCTTGAAAGGACTGTACAAAAGGCAGTTGTAACTGAGTTAAGATCTGCTTGTAGGCCTCTGGGACAAGCAAAGGCAACACACTTCCACCATCCCCACAACAAAGAGACGGAGCTGCCTGCATCTTTTCCTAAGCTTCTCCCTTTAAGGTTGTGAGTTTTTTATCAGATCCGTCACCATCTCCAGCCAACACAATATTAAGGCTGTATGCTGCACGCAGACAACCATTTAAAAACCACGCCTATGATGTCTAATAAAAGAATTGTAATCCTCGCATGCTGGATATCCAGAGTTGAGTCAAAGTAAAGGTGGTGATGCAGGTTATTTCCATCAATTATTACCTTTGGGTTTCTCAGCCACAGATCAACAAAGAATTTGCTATGTTCCCTTACATAACTCATTATGCCAACGATGCCTCTTCTTGTTAGCTTGAGTGCCTCTATTACAGGGAAAGAAGAAAAAATGAATCTCTCAAAGACAGACCACACGCCTTGGAAGTAAAGGGGGGCAACGTTAATTCATTAATTAGGTCATATCACTCTTACAGTATTTGAATGCTATGAGAAAGTCATTGCCTTAGAGCAGACATGTCAAACTCACGACGTCACGTGAAGTCGCACAACATATCGGAACGGTTTTGTCATTGCCGGCAATGGGGTGGGTGTGGCTTCCAGATGACGCATCCGGCACGCAGGCCGGCAGTTTGACACTCCTGTCTTAGAGTGAAATTCACCTGTGTTTTAGACAGATTTGTTGCTGTAAGAATGAAGCCAAATAGAATGTATTAAATTGGGGGGGGGGGATGTACTGAGCTTCCAAAAATAATCAAACTGTAAATCTGAGCCCTTTCCCAATTAAGACTCTGCCATGTTACTAATTACATCAAAAGGAGCCCAGCAGAGCCAGAGGCCTTTCTGCCCCCATTACTACTACAAAACCTTTGATAAGAATTGGCTGGGTTGGAGAACTGGAGGGAAAGCCTGCATTTCAAACTAATTGGAGAATGTGATTTATGACTGTTAATTGGAGGAGGGAATTGTGCTTTGATACTATGTGCTCAGGGGAGGGGAATCCAGTTTTTGGCTTCAATTGTGTTAGTGCCAATGCTATGCTTCTCAAATAAAGATTCTTAAGGTAAACAATGCCTCAAAGTTCTATGAAGAGTTTCATCTGTCAGAACCATGACACCATATACATAGCAGAGAATCTGATTTAAGAATAATTTTATTGTTGTTATTCAATTGTTAAGTTTACCTGTATACTTTGCATAATAAAAAGTATTGAAAGAAAAATCTTCATCAGGGTCCAGTCCAAGCTGGGAATAAACAAAATGGAGACTGTTTTAGAAAGAAGGTTGTAGTTTATTGAAGAACAGAGCCAGACAGAAAGATGGCTCTGGGAAAGCTGACCACCTGTTGCTGGGAGTGGTGGGTTTTTATACCTTCTTGGGCTTTTGTTTGGAGTTGTTCCTGTGGCATAAACTTTGACCTGAGTCTGAGTGTGCTTTTCTGATGTGATAATGGTGTGCTTTTCTAATGGTGGTTGGTTAATCCTATTATGTCCCAAGGGTCATATCCTGCTTCCCTGGGGCTGTAGCTGATGACTATGTCCTGTGTTAGATTTTTTTGGTGTGAGGGATTATTGATTCTGGGGATCTTTGTCTTTCAAATCGAAGCTTCCTGGCTCCAATCTTTCTGACATCTGCATTTCTGCAGACCTGGTTTTTGTTTCGGGCAGAAAGACTTGGGGGGGGGGTTGGTTTCTGCCTTTAAGATCCTTTGGGGAAATATAATATTCTGCCTTTTAATATTCCCAAAAATATTTCTTGGGGGAGGGCTGACTTCCCACAATCCCCCCTTTGTGCCCTATAAGTGTGGATGACACACCTTTACTGGCACAAGATTAAAAATTGATCTGGTCAGGGAGACTTAATAGGCTCCAGGATATGGGGAAACAAGGATGTGGGGAAACAAGCTTTGAAACTGTTAACTGTTAATTCAGGAAGGGGAAGACACTAATAGAGGTAGCAGAAAAAGATTCCTGCAGTGGCTCCCAAAAGTCAGGGCAAAAGTTCTGTTAGGTGCAAAAGAAATTTATAGTATCCAATATTCTGTGCCAATTATTTTAGATGTTTGATGCCACTTTGAGCTTCCAGTCAGGTTTGCACATTCCTCCAAAATTCTTCACAGCTATGGTTTGCCTCAGTACATCACTAGCTGCACATTTTCAAGAGTTGTTTCCTGCCTTAGCTCTTAGTTCAGTGCATCCAGCCTTTGTGATGTTCAATTGAGGTTAGCCAGTATGCAAGCCAGATTATATATATATTTTTAATTGCACACAGTGAGCCCTAGGACTCCCACTCTGAGTCCATCAGTGCAACATACTCAGGGCTTGGGTTTTTGGAGATCTCTTTTCTACCTCCTCAGTGATAGCATATGACAGTGATGGCGAACCTTTTAAAGACCAAGTGCCCAAACTGCAATCCAAAACCCATTTATGTATCGTTGGGTCAAGGGTGGGCCTGGCCCATTGGGTGGGTGTGGCCCTTTGGGTGGGCATGGCTTCAATGGTAATGGCAGACTGGGCGGGACTAAAATGTTCAATCAATTAATTCCAACTTTGCGAGATCTTTTTTTTTCCTGTGAGAAGTTGAAATTGATTAATTGAACTTTTTTTTTGCACACAGCAGCAGAGGCCTAAAGCAAAAAGGTTTTATAAAACCCAGCTGAAGGCCTAGGACTGGGGCGACAATGTGCGTGCCCACAGAGAGGGCTCTGCGTGCCATCTGTGATATGCATGACATAGGTTCGCCACCACGAGCATATGAATTGCAAATCACCTGAAAGGGGTCTGGTTCCCTCCCCCTTGGAATTTGCAGGAAGTTGTGCATGCAAAGTGTCATGGTTCTGACAGATGAAACTCTTCAAAAGAACTTTGAGGCAAAGAATCTTTTATTCGAGAAACATAATATCGGCACTACATAGTTGAAACCAAAAACTAAATTCCCCTCCCCAAAGCACAATTCCCTCTTCCAATTAACAGTCATAAATCACATTCCCCAATTAGGCTGAATGCGGGCTTTCTCCTCAACTCTCCAGACCGCCATAATTCTAACAACTCAGGGCCCAATGACCTTGCTAAGTTATTATTGTTATGACTAGCTAGAGTCTCATCCACATTCCCCCTCCCAGCATCAACTAAGCCTAAAAGCAATAGAGGAAAAATGGCTGCATTTCCATCCGTTGTCAAAGCAAGAACAACCTTTTGGGCACCAGGGACTGGTTCCATGGAGAGAGATTTTTCCGCAGACCAGAGGATGCATGGCTTTGTGTGCTGCCTGCATCTTGCAGATGGGGCTTTGTTTGTTTGTGCAGACAGGTTGCTGGCATGCCACGGCCCAGTACTGGTCCATGGACTGGGGATTGGGGACCCCTGTTCTAATCCATGTTTCCTGGCTCCAATTTTCTGACAAGATTATCACATCTGCTTTTCTGCAGACCTGGTTTCTGTTTGGAGCAGAGAGATTGGGGGGCGGGATTGGTTTCTGCCTTTAAAATCCTTTGGGGAAATATAACATTCTACCTTTTAATATTCCAAAAAATATTTCTTTCTCGGGGGGGGGTGACTTCCCAGGGTACAAAAAAATATTTTGATTGAGTAAGAAAAAGTCATCTGTCCAGTTACATGATAAGAATTAAAACATCCAATGCCATGTGAGCATTTAGAATTGAAAAGAGCATTGCATTCTGAATGAAAGTTTGCCAGAGAAAAATGTCACAATGGGTAAGTTGAGCTTGTATGCTGAGAAAATGAAACTTTTATCTGTAAGGGCTTTCCCGCCTCTCCTTATTTTTAAAATGAAGGCTTTTCTTGAAAATTAAGACATGGTGAATTATTAGCAATACATTTAAAAAAAAAAAAAACTCAAATTTAAAGTTCAAGAAAACCCATGTTAGTTAGCCAGAGCAACAGTACTACAAAAACCATACTGCAAGTATTACAGACTCCATACTGTGCAGCCCTCACTAAGCCACTGAATATATTTGACTAAGGAACCATTTTGAGTGAGTTTTATGCCTTAACCATTTTGTGAGGCAGGAGCAGAAGGGACCTGGACTTCTATGAGTGACAGGCCTGATGCCCAATCAAAGGGAAGAGTGTAATATCAGGCCACTCTTAGCCACCCAATCATAGGCAAGGGTGGAGAGATCATGGGGTGGAGAGATTTTTCCTCTCAGGATTTGCCTCACACATTTCAGTCTTTTGACTGGGGAGTCTGTGGGAGAATTCCTAAACAATTTTATTTCCATTTCTGAATTCTTTAGGCTCCCTATTCCCCAGACCTACGTACTTAGAGGTTCCTTTCTACCCAAATACATTGCTTACCTTTTTCTTTAATGCTTAGAATCAATCATCATTTTTGGCAGATTTTCAGAAGAGGCTTGCCAGGCCTTCTCCTTCCTGGGCCTGAGACAGAAGGACTGGGCTTCTCCATCTGAATTTTGTGCTTTCCCTCTTCCTCCTCTGAAGCCCTTAACCTTCCCATCACCAGATGGGTTTTCAAGGTGACTGCAAGTCCCCTTCATAAGACAATGGCAGATTTAAAAGCTGCCTAGCAAGAACACATTAGCCCTTTCAGGGACTGTTCTGGAATAGCCAAGGAACAAAAGAAACTTGATCATCCTCTGAAGTACTTCCTTAGAAATCTTGGTTTTTGCTAGCAAAAAAGCCCTTAAACCTATTGACTCACTAAATTCTACAATATATAGTATGTTCTCAAGGATGCCATCCTGGGATCTCTCAAAATGCTAGTTGGGCAAATCTGTGCTTTAAGCTCTTTCTTATCCTTTTCTTTAGGGAAGGAAGGAAGATTGAGAGATAGAAGGGAGATTTAGGCAGTATTAGAAGTTTATCATACTAACCAAGTTACTAATTAAACATACTTTAGCCAACATGGAAAGAGCTCCAAATCTTTTTTTTCTGGAAGATAATTGATGACTGCCTGTGGACTTTCTTATTCCTAATCGTCTATGGAAATATTGGCCACATAAGAAATTAAAAAAAGAGGTGAGCTGATTTTGTCCATCAAGATGATGTGCATCACAGGATTAGCAAAACTCCTGTAGATGTTAATGTGCCATGTCCCCATCTCCAAAATGGGAGGAGGGTATTATGAAGCTTAATGAAAAGGTTCATTAAGAAAAGAGCCTTCCTTATTTAGTAGGGAGATCTTGAGATGGAGAGAATTTTCCCCTCAGGATTCTACTAGATTTCACTTAAAGTTGCCCCCCTAAATGGCTTGAAGTATCTGTAAACGAATAGGAGGAGCCTGAAATACCCCATCTAAATACTCTGCAATGGCTGGTAGCTAAGGGCAACCAAGCTTGTAGAGTCACCTTGTAGGGGAGACGAAAGGCATAAGAATTCAATTAACTAATTAATAACATACTTCTAAACCACCAAAAGCAACTTTGGGAGACAGTGATTTGGTTAGAATCTGCTTGCTTTAAATAAAAGAAATTTAAAAAATGAACTAGATTCAAGTAGAACCACGATTAATGTCGTTCCAGGATTGCCCACTCAAGTAAGCATCTTTCAATAAGACAGTGACAAATTAATGCTAAGGAACCTAAGTTTATCTGGTACCATCTTTTCCAACTAGCAAATGTTATTTTTTTTATTAAAAAGTTTTATAAAGAATTACACCCCAAACCCTCCCCCACTTCCCAGAGCTGAATAAAGGGTTATTACAAATATAATAATCAAACTCTAAATAACATTAACCAACTATAAAATAACCAAATTCATAGTATACTTTAACTCCCCTTTAACATAAATACAGACAAGTAAGATAAACATAATAATATAGACAATTCCATATTATTAAACAATATCCAAGTTATTAAACTATACTATTACTAAAAACAATAATAAAACTAATAATAATTTCACTATAATA